ATTTAGATGGTTAACTCTATGCTATTATTGTTGAATAGTGTTCTATTCTTATTGGAAGCAAAGCAGGTCCATTTAGTATTATTTAGTGCTTATAATATAATTATAGATCTTTTATATGATTAAGGATGATATATTATTGAGTCTTAGGACATGTCAATATCCAGTGTGTCTTTGATGCTATTATTGTTGCTGATTTTATTACGATAGCCAGATGACATAGTTGTTATCAACTGATTTTCTCTGCATGCTAACAGCAGACTGCCTTGCTGTATTAACTATATCATTGTCCACTACTGGAGAACTGGGTACTGAGCCAAATATACTATAGCCTCCCCTTCTAAATAAATAGAGATGTTAAGATTCTGGGGCAGGAACAGAAAAGTCAGTGCCTCCTGAGAATCTGCCATGCAGGGACTGGGAAGATCCAAGCAGCCAACCGGCCAGCCTTTCTGGTGAGCCATGCAAGCTGTGTGGCTTCCAAGAAGATAAAAGTCAAAGCCTCCCATGAGCCTACCAGTATGCAGGCTGAGAATCAAACACACACACACACACACACACACACACACACACACACACACACACACACCTACATCGCTCCAGCCCGCCTTGCCCTTGTAAGCAACCGTCTGGTTCTGGTTTGGAGGACAGGCTGAGTTAATAGCAACTAAGGTACATAAAGCAACTAAATGTACAATTTGGTTGATTTTGCACACCTGGGGCTGGCAATCTGAGCATCTCTTTGAAGGATGACAGTATAGAATATAGCAAATATGGGGGATTTCCTTCTATCTTGTCTTTGAAATCCAATATTAGTCTCACTGTTTTCTTTTGTTCTGATTGTTTTGCTTTATTCAGTATTTTGTTGATTGGTTTTATTCTGTTTTGTTTTTGGTTTGACTTTGCCATACTTGATGGAATGGACAACTACTGTGAAGATAACAAGAAACAGTATGGTAGCTATTGCTGTTTTCCTAGTATCCTGCTTTGAAGTTCTCTACCAATTTTGCTGCTTGTTTTGACTGGCTTTGTTCTGTTTTGTTTTGTTGGATTTTACTATCTTTAAAATAAAACAAATTGTAAAACAAACACGATTCTGGGACAAAGGCAAAGATCTATATTTAGCTATACCCAGACAGCACACTGGACAACACACAGACAAAAACTAAAGAGATCTCCAGACCTGCAACCATGTCTTCCAGTATAAACAACCTGTAAGCATAGCACACACCCAAAATAAACAAATAAACAAAAATAAAACAGAACTGTGAGAGGACAAGGCAACAAAATCCCTCTAGAAACCTCACAATAACAAAACATCCAAATCAATACAATTACAAATGAAAAGGGTGAAATCACAACAGACACTGCTGAAATCCAGATTATTATCAACCTCTACATAAAACTATATGCTATTAAATTACAGAACTGAGAAGAAATGGATAGATTCTAGATATCTACGAGTTACCAAAGCTGAGCCAAAAAGATTTAAAAATAACATAAAATGAAACTGAAGCAGTAATAAAAAATTTTACCAAGAAAACCTCAGTGAGATACTGGTAAACAGAATGCAATAAATAATCAAAAAGGTCATATATTATGACCAAGTAGGCTTCATTCTATGGGTGTACAGTTGGTTCAACAACTCAAAAAATGTATCACAAACAGAAACAAGGCAAAATTCACATGATTTATGGGGGAAAACTGAAAGTTTTCCTTCTAAATTTAGAAATAAGACAAGAATGTCCACTATCACCACTTCTGTTCAACACAGTACCTAAAACATTAGCTAGAGCAATCAAGAAGAAAAAGAAACAAAAGAATTTGAACAGGAAAGGAAGAAGTCAAATAATCACTTTTGGCAGATGACATGATCCAGTACATGGAAAACCCAAAACATTCCACCAATAGAGTTGAGAATTAATAACCACATTCAACAATGTAACAGGATGCAAAATCAATACATAATAATCAATAGCATTTCTGTATATCAATAAAGAACTTACTTAGAAGAAATTATGAAAACAATACCCTCAACAATACCCTCAATATTAAATATATATTTCTTGATGCTATCATTGAGGATATTGTTGTAAAATTTTATCTAACCAAAAAAGTAAAAGATCTCTACTACAAAAACTACATATCATCTGTTCCTGGATGGGCAGAAAAATATTGTCAAAATGGCTGTACTTTTAAAACTCAAATATAGATATAATACAATCCCAACTAATATACCAAGAGCATTCCTCATTCCTAGAGAAAACAATTCTAAAATTCATATGAAACAGAAGAAGCCTGGAGAAATAGATACAATGCTGGTGAATAAGACAGTTCAGAATCTGGATTTGAAGTCGTATTACAAAGCTACAATGATAAAAACAGCATGGCACTGGCATAAAAATAGACATGTGTATCCATGGACCAGAACAGAGGATAGAGAAACAACCTCAGGCATATTCAGCTGTTTGATCTGTGGGAGACGAAACAAAAATATACATGGAGGAAAGAGCTCTTTAACAAATGGTTCTAGGGAAACTGGCAATCAAGATGCAAAAAAACTAAATGTAGACATATATATCTCAACATGTAATAAACCAAAATCAAAATAGATCAAAGATTTAAAACAGACACATTCTGCTGGAAGGTAAAATGGTAAAACTCTTGAACTCAGAGGCATAGGCAAGCTCTTTCTAAACAGAACTTCAATGGCACAAGAAATAGTACAAAGAATCAGCAAATGGGAGCACTTTAAATTTAAAAACTTCTGCACAGAAAAAGAAATAACCAACAGAGTGAAAAGACAATCTATAGAATGGTAAAAATAATTTTTGTCACCTATTCCTCAGAGGACTAATATTTAGTATACATAATAACTAAAAAAAAAAAAAAAAAAAAAGAAAGAAAAATCAGACCCTCCCGCCAAAATAAATGACTCAAAAAATAGGCAACAGAAATGAATAAACAACTTCTTAGATAAAGAAGTACAAATGGCGGGGGCTGAGGATTTAGCTCAGTGGCTCAAGCACTTGCCTGGCAGGAGCAAGGTCATGAGTTTGATCCCTGGTACACCCCACCCCACAAAAGCTAATAATCATATGAAAAAATGTTCAACATTACTGGCTATTAGAGAAATGTAAGTTAAAGTAACACTGAGATTCTATCTTAATCCAGAAAGAATGGTAATAATCAAGAACTCAAATAATAACAAATGCTGGTAAAGCTGCAGGGAAAAAGCAACCCTTCTACACTGTTAGTAGGAATGTAAAATAGTACAAACACTATGAAAAGCAACATGAACATTCCTCAAAAAAATAAAAATATATTCCATTTGAGTCAGCTATTTCCCCACTGGTATCTTCCAGAAAGAGTTAAAGACATCATATTACAGTGCTGCATGGATGCCTATGTGTATAGCAGCACGAGTCTTAACAGCTAAATCTTGGAAGCAGCCTATATGTCCATCAACAGGTGAATGGATAAAGAAAAGGTGCTATTTAAATACCAAGGAGTACTATTCTGCAATAAGGAAAGATAAACTTGAGTTTTCTGTGGGAAAACAGATGCACCTTGAGACCATAGTTATGTTTTGTTTTGCTTTGTGTTGTGTTTTGTTTTGTTTTTAGATGGTTTCATTACATAGTTCAGAATATCCTTAAGCTCACTATGTAGCCCAAGCTGGCCCTGCCTCAGCCTCCCAAGTGCTGGAATTACAAGTGTGCACCTTGATGCCCAGTGATAGACCATAATTTTAATTGAAATAAATCAGACACACAAATTTAAATATCACATCATTTCTCTTATATGAGAAACTCAACGTATAAATAAAAAGAGTTAACTACAGGGTAATAGGAAGTAAAGAGATAGATCTTTTTGAAATGGGAAGAAGATTAAGAGAAGGGCTGAGGGAGAGATGGAAGGAAGGTAAAGTGGATAAAAAAATTGAGATGTGTTATATATATGTGTGTTAACTGCCCATAATAAATGTAATAATTATGCACTACAAGTATATACTAATAAAAAAATTTTAAAACACTCCCACCAGTGTCCACACCATTTGGAATAAAATACTACAAAATTATTTCCATGAAAAAAGGAATAAAGTGAAATATTTGATATGAAAAAGAAAAATCAGCAACTCAAGAAAAGATTAATTATTTTCATGTCATCTTACTTCCATCTCAAACTTTACAGTCTACCTCACTAAAAAAAAGTCTCAAATTCTATTAAGATTACAAATGTATTAAAAATATCCATGGTAATAAGGCTGTCTTTATACTTCCATATAACATGTATGTCTCATCAAAAACTTAAGATTCCCAGTCTTTGATAATATGGCACAATTTGGATAACTATAACTGATTTGTAAAGACACTTAAATTTCTCATTATCTTTCTGGAAGTCCTTATCACATGTGAAACAGATTTGCAACTATTTCTCCAGTGAAATGTAGGTAAATTTTTAGAAATGGGTTCAGTATAAAGGGTAACTGCTAGTTTTTAAATTCTGTATCATAAAAATGACACGCACTTCCATGTTAAATTATTTTGCATTTCATGTAAGCTATTATGTTTATTGCTGTCTTGACATTACTGTTAAATAAGTAGCAGAACATGTAATTCTCCCATCACTGTATTTAACAAAAGTTCAATTTTCCTAATATTTATTTTTACTTCATAAACATTTATCCAGAGCTGCCATGAACCAGTGCTGTATGTGTTGAAATGCAGTCAACCAATCATATATTATCTAAATCTACTTAACTGCTACAGCTTTTCTAGAATAGATCTGTATCACCAATTTTTCAAAGTGTCTTTATGTTTTTGTAAATATACTCATTTTCATAATTATGAAAATTCAATTTATGGTTCTGAGCTTTTGTGGGAAATTTATAAATTATTCTTTAAGACATAAATACTTGCTTGTCATCAAATTTGTTTTTCTGTATAGCAACATCAGTGCACCAAAGAAAGTATAAGTTACTTTAAATTTCTAAGATTTACCTGAAATGGGAATATTCTGTGAAACTGATAATTGCACATCTCCCGTTCCTGGTGGCATGTCAACAACTAAATAGTCCAGTTGCCCCCAATCTACCTAAAAACCAAAATAACAGAAAAACATTATTGTATAACTATTACAGTGGGTAGTGATATGAACAAAATTACAGTATTAATAACAAATCTAAAACAGTAATTACCATGAGTCATCCTCAGGTCCCTGGACTAAGGAGCTAAGGACTAAGGATACAGGAAGGAGTTAAGTGTCAAGTTACTGTCACTAGTAGAGCTGGGAATGATAAGTTTAAATGGAGACAGGAGAGCCTAGTGCTGCCTGAAAGGTACTTCTTTCCATGGCTGCCCCGAACACTTTGTAGGCAGCTGGCTGTATCAGGTGCCCCACTGGCAGCCCTGGTATTTGCTTTGGTTATGGCAGAGCTCAATTGCTGGCCTATCCCAGATGATTCTGATCTGCAGCCTCTCTGGATATTTGAACCCCGTGCGGCTCTCCTCATTTAGGTTAGTGAAAGGATCCACCCCTACCCACACCAAAGAGAAAGTCTGACAGTGCGTATACACATGCCCAACTGTTCTCCTTTTTAAAGAAACCTCCACATACTCATAATGGGTTCACGCTGTGCGCTGTTCCCCAATATGCTCCCACGTAATTCTTAGGAAAGTTATTTCCAGATGGCATATCCATGCCTATTTGTGATTTCTAGGTCATGTAGAGAATGCTGAGCTGGCACACAAAAAGCCACTGGCACCAAAAGCCACCAGCACCCAGACTGATAACCATGAAGGCAGCTAGCACCAGGGAAATATGGAAGAGAAATAAGCACAGCTGGCAGCCACCACCTCCAGAGACCCAAAGAGCTCCTGAGCTGCTTCCTCCATGAGGCAAGGGCGGCTGTTATTGCAAAAGCACCAACAGCCACTGGCGTTAAAAGTCCAGGGCTGTTAATATTAAAAGAGTGAAGTTTTGCCAATTAGTAATCTATGAGAATTGAACAACACTCAGCTGACTGGAGAACCTTACAAGTCAGTATGGGGACCTTCTCTTGACTGGACCCTGAAAAAGAGGGCAGATAATAGAACTCATACTAGCCAGGGACAAAATTTGTAGATAATTGATCCCTACACATACAATAATGAAGCTGTTTCATACTGATAAATTATTTATAGGATATAGTATAGTCCAGGATACAGTAGAGCCCAGATTTTGTCTAAGAAGGTCACATCTTTTTGTTCCATATACTTTTGTTCTTTTTGTTTGGAGATATACATGTGTGTATAATCATTTTCCCTTCATTAAAATAAAACACCAATAATGAAAACTAAGACTAAACATTAAATGGAAACAAAGCTTTATAAATAAGGAGAGGAACAGAGGTTTAAGGGAGGGGAGGGGAATGGATAGAAAAAGAAAGACAAAAGGTATATCATGTACACGTATAAATTCCCTATGATATTTGTGATCATTGTATATACCTAAGTTGTACCAATAACTTAATTAAATTTAAAATAAAAAATGAAATGCTCTGCACAGTGCCTGGCATATATAAAAAAGGTAAACAAGGTGATACATAATGTTAAATATCTGATTTATTCATGCCACATTATGTACATATAGCAAAACATCACACTATGCCCACAAATGTAAAAATTTTTTCAATCAAGTATAATATTAATTTTTCAATCAAGTATAATATTAATTTCTTAAAAAAAAAAAACAACAGCTTGGGAAATCCACAAATTGGCTTTAACAAACAAATATTTTGGCCAGGTATTTAGCTCAGCAGCATAAACACCTGCCTGGCAAGCATGAGATCTCGAGTTCAGTTCCTGGTACAGAAAGAAAGAAAGACAGAGACAGAGACAGAGACAGAGACAGAGACAGAGAGAGAGGGAGAGAGAGAGAGAAAGAGAGAGAGAGAGAGAGAGAGAGAGAGAGAGAGAGAGAGAGAAAGAAAGAGTTTATCCCAGTGACTATTCTATAAATATTTGTTGATTATCTATGATATGCCAGGCACAAATAAAGTAAAGATCAAATTAAGGATCTGTGGATTGCCAGGAAAGACTCACTTTGCTTTCCAACAGTGTTGGCTAGAAAGAAAAATAATCTAGGCCAGTGATGGTGAACTTTTTAGAACTTTCAGTGATAGCCTATAATAATGGCTTTCAATGATGGCTGCAGCACACATGCCATAGGTTCACCACCACTGACTAAGCTTTCTGCAAGTCAGATTGTCAGCATTTGAAAAATTTTACCCATGCATGGTTTTATGATTGAATTATGTCCTATTCAAACTGATATATTAATGCCCTAGCCTCCAAAACCTCAGAATGTGACTGTTGGGAAGATAAGGATTATTAAGTTAAAATGAGCTCTTAGGGTAGATCCTAATCCAATATGACTGCTGTTCTTAAAAGAAAAGGAGAGCCTCTCTCCATGACTGTGGAGGGAAAGACCCAGGCCCACAGGGAGGAGATCCACACCCAGAAACCAGCACCATGTGTGGGCCACTGCCAGCATGGGGCGCGCCAGACCCAATCCTCCGTCAGTCAGTCAGCACCATCCACAGACTGTGGAGGGAGAGAGCCAGGCCCCACAGGGAGGAGATCCCCACCTAGAAACCATATCATTTTCATTGTTTGGTTGGGTTGGGGTTTTATTTTCTTTTGTTTTGTTTATGTTAACTCTGATGGCATGCACAGCTATTTAAAAGATACCAACTCCTGTTATGGAAGGCATTATGTATTTACTACTGGCTTGTTTTGATGTCCTTTATTCATTCATTGTTTTGTTTTTATTGTTTCTATTCTGTCCTGTTCTGTTTCGTTTTTAATGTGTCTGCAAGTAGTATCTGCAGCTATTTTGAAGACAGCAAAGGCATTGTTGATTGCATAAAGTTTGGAAGTCCTATATCACTTATTCTGGTTTATTTGGATTGACGTTATTCTGTTTTATTTTCCGTGGTTTTATCCTCTTTAAAATAAAAAAAAGGAAAATAACATAGATTGCCATCACATACAAGGAAGTCAGTGTGAAGACACAAGGAGAGAACAGCTAAAAAGCAAGGAGAAGAAAAGAAAAAAAGACAAAAAGGAAAGGAAAGGAAAGGAAAGAAGAAAGAGAAGAGAGAAAAGAGAAAAGAAAAAGTGGTATTAGTTGATAGGGCCCTGCCCAGGATTTGCCCAGTCATCATGGCAGCAGTGCAATGCTAAATCATCATGGTGCTTAGCTCCGTCTTCCCAGAAGCCCCATGACTTCTTCCTCCCAAAAGTTTTTGCCAAAGTTCATGTGTGTAAAGATTTACCCAGTTTCCTACACTCTCACAAAATAAATTAGCTTACACTAGTCCCCAAAGCCCTTCCTGATCAGAGCTATATAGGGCAAAACCCACTCTTTGTCTGCAGAGAGCCACTACAGTCTTCTTTTTTTTAATTTTTTTTTTTTTTTTTTTTTTTTGTCTTTTTCGTTTTTATCGGTACCAGGGATCGAACTTACGACTGCCTGCTTGCAAGGCAGGTGCTTATGACGCTGAGCTAAATCCCCAGCCCCCACTACAGTCTTCTTTGTGCTGACTCCCTCCATGCCTGCATTAAACTCTTTTTTTAAAATCTAGTTGCCTCCTTTCTTTTAATATTCTGTGGTACTCTAGACTGAGTACAAAGTTTCAACTCAATCATTAGTCATTTTAGGAAAATGGAGGCAGTTTGAGACCACAATGCTAAGTGAAAGAAATCATACAAATAGCTTGAATATTGCATGGTTTCATTCATATGAGAAACTCAAAGTATCCAGAAAGCAAAATAAAACATAATACAAAGATAGAGATCTTTTTCTTTTTCTTTTTTTTTAAATTTTATTTAAAAGGAAAAAGAAAAAAACAAAACAGAACAAAGCGGTGTAAGGGTACAAGTAATACAGAACTACAAAAAAAAAAAAAAAAAAACAGTAAGAAATCACCAGTTAATAGATTACATATTGTCATCCTAGAGACAGTTGCTCAAGTCACAGTATCAAAGCATACAAAGTGGACATTCAAACAGTGAGACTGCAAACAGTTGTGTTCAATGATCTAACCAAGAACATTAATATGGTCAGCTATTTAACACCCCTAAACACACTTGCTGTTGTATCCTTTAGAGCTCTTTTTTTCCCCTCTCTTTTTTACAACAAAATTTACACATTTTGAGTTTTATTGCTCCTTAGATCTTACTAGTTTTTTTGGGGGGGAAGAATAAAGTCAAATATGGCAAAACAAAGCTGTCAGTCAAAACCAAGGATAGACATAGCACATGATGTGAAAACAGACTACAAGGTTATCAACAATGGTTGCCATAATGTCTCTTGTTTCCTAAAAAAGAACTGTCTATCTCATTAGGTGTCATAAAGTTGAACAAAACAGTAGAGAACAAGACCAATAAAACTTAAGCATTGTAAACATTACAGGACTTCCAAAGGAGACAATAGTCAAACCAGAATGGGCATCTTAGTGAATCTTATTGCCTTCAAAGTAGTTGCCTACACCCTCAAACTTGATACTATCATACAGAATGGAACAGAGTCTAAACAGTCAAAACAAGATAGTGGGAGTATTACAAGACTTCAAAACAAGTTAACAGGAAATCAAAAAAAAGTTACTATTATATATCCTGCTAATTTTTTTAACTTTTCCCCTTAATTAAAAAAACCATAAAAAATAACTAAATAATTTTTTTAAGGGATAAGGGAGAGATTGAGATAAAACAGGACATAACAATATAACAATACAGGTCAAAGCATGACTGTTTCAGCAACCTAGTGTTTCACCAACAAATAACCCGACTTAATAGTACTTACCATAGTGTCTTTTTCCTTGAAATATTTGAATAAAACTTCATATACTATAGCTTCAAATATTTCCATATTAAGAAGCCCAGAATAAAGCCTTTCCAATGAATAAGTGAAAACATTATAAGGCTTCAAGGCCACATAATGGGGAATCATGATTACCACATATTTTTATATATTTGAATCATTATTTACATTAGGGAAACTATTCGGTATTCACACATGCGAGATTGATTTATTTCACTTGAGTATGGTCT